AAAAACATTTTGCTATTTTTAGTAGAGGTAGTTTCCCTAAATTTTTCCACTTTTTTACCTAACGGAAAAAAACCCCACAAATTTTTTCTGATTTGAATCTGAAAATTTTTAGATTTAAATATGAAGATTTATTTAAATAAAATTTTACCCCTAAAATAGGAGTTAAATCTATTATGTTTGTCTTCCATTGATTTAAATTTGGAAAACTATTCAAAGTTTTATAAAGTTTGTTTAAACAGGTTTAAAAACTTTAAACCAAATACGAACAATTGTTAAATAAAAAATACCACAAAAAAAGTAAATTAAAAAAGGGTTTTGTTAGGCTGCACCACTTGGTGGTATAGACCCTTCAAGTGCTCAACATTTTTAGAGATTAAAATACCCTTGAATTGTGATACAAAAATTTTCAAGTAGGGGCATTTTTGGTCATTTAGAAAGGTAGAATGGATATTTTTATAAAAAAATAATGGCATTATATTATTAGTTAAAAACAATTAATGCATCTTGTGGGTGATGTCATACATCATATTGGTGATGTCATTGTCCACTATTGTTAATAAATGCTTTTGTTTCTATTAAGAATTTCTAGTTTATCTTTGACTAATTACTTAAAATACCCCTAAACAAAAAGTTACTATGAGGGTATCTAAATGTCTAAAAATGTTGAGCACTTTAAGGGTCCACACCATAAGTTGTGTAGCCTAACAAAAACCATTAAAAAATAATTCAAATACTTTCATTGGTTTAAATATGCTTTGCTACTTCTTCAAAAATAGCGGTTGTGATTTCAAATTCGCTCAAACTGATTGATTTAAAATAAAAAACACCAATAACTTCAATATTGTGTAAACTTTTGCCAATTCATGATTTGGGGATGGGGGAGGGAGAATGATGACTATTTAAAGTTAGGAAAAGTTTATATGGAGCCTAGGCTCTAAACAATCAAACTAGAACCTACCTCAAAACTTTCACTAGAAGAGGTTGTTTTGATACGAAAATATAATCAAATTCATCATCTTGACACCAAGATGCATGGGCATGAGAAAAAATATGGATTTTAAGTATTGGAAATAGTGCATTTTGTAACGCATTTTTGGACCTTAATTTTCAAGATTTTCAAGTTTTCATATATTTGCACTATTTTTTAAGCTTTAAATTTTATAACTAAAGATGAAAATATAATTTAAGTTTATCACAAAACTTTCCAGTATTGAAACCATATTTATTGATACTATTTGAAGATAGGCTCTAATTTGATTATTTAGAGTCTCGACTCTATACAAACCGCACCCTTTAAAGTTTGATTTGAATGTTGCTAGGTTCGAAATTCGATTAGTGTTGCGTATGTAACCCGTTTATGATAGGCACCATGAAGTTTCCGAACACACCTCTATGCACTAACTTCAAACGTTGCACCCATCATAGGCTTCCACCTAAAAATCTAATAGACAAGAGTGTTTTGGAGGTGAAAAAGCTTTCAGTTGGAAAAGCTTTTAGATGATTATCTTGGTTTCGAGATGTATGGATATTAAAAAAAAAAAAAAATTCAAATCCTAAAACTATTGCACTCTATTTTAAAGATTTTTAAGTGGTCATAGATTTGCTTGACTTGTTTTGTTTTGAAATTTTAAATTTTAGAATTAGGTTTGAACATAGATTTTCAAACCATCGTAAGGTTTCCGACACACGAACTACATCTTGCGGTAAAACTTAGAGCTGCATCTTACTTGTATAATATAAAGTGTGCACCTTATACAAACCTCACCTTATAAAATATTGGGGATATATTTTAAGGGGTAATGATTTCATGCAACGGTTGTATAGTAATATAATGCAACAACCTTAAAAATCATGTTAATACCATTTGTTTAATCATAATTTTTAAATTACACTATTTTCATTCTATAGAATAATCACAAAAAAATAAATTTTGAAAATGCAGCTTAGAAAATTTTATTTTAGCCCAATCAACATAAGCCTTCTATCTTGTTAAGGTGCTTAGATCTAAGCCTTAGAAGGATTTTTCTCTTTTCACAATTTTTGGATAGCTTTGTTATCATTAGATGAACAATATTGAAAAGGAAAAAATTGGTTTTGAATTTGTAAAGGCCAAGATCTTGAAATTGGTCAAATGGATGGGCTAGATTCATTATTAGAGGTAACTCATTTTAACCATATCTATGATGCAAATCCAATTTTTTCTTTTTGGAAATTGACTGTTAGGATGAAGACAGGGTATGTGCAATTTTTGAGGTGATACAAATACTACAAACATGATTTTTTAGAAGTGTGGTTGCATTGTATTACTATATCAATGTTGCATGCAATCGTTCCCTTATTTTAAGTTATGAAAATACAAAGGATATTTATGCAATTTTTTGTAACTTTTAATTAGATATCTTAAATTTGATTCTTGAACAGTTTTGACTATTTATATATGGGAAAATTATGTAAATATCCATATATTTTTTGTTAAATTACGAAAATACGTGAAACTTATGTTATTACACATATGTCCATTTTTTCAACCTCATGACATTTTTTATTAAAAGGATGAAACTGACCATTTTTGGTTTTTGAAAAATCGAACTTGTTTTAATTTTTCATTTTCAAAACCGACTTTTTTTTTCTTTTTTTCTTTTTAAAAAAAATTTTGGTTTTTGAAAAATCGAATTTCCAAAACCGAATTTTTAAATATCAATATTATATATGTCAAATATTTAAAATTAGTGTTGAATTGGCTTTTTGGTTATCATGCATACCTTTACACCTTCATATCAAGGTCCTTCCATACGCAATCTAAGTTTCTCCAATTTTATTCTTCCAGGGGTATTTTAGTTATTTTATTTTATTAAAATTATTATTATTATTTTTCGCTAATGCGAGTTTAATAGAAGATTGGACATCCAAATTTTGGTATCCAAATAGTTTATAAAAAAAAATTAAAAATAGAATAGTATAGAGACATGATTTTGTGATAGGGCAATCTTAGCCCTCCATTCACAATGGACAGTTGGATAAGAGGGATGATAGAACTTTTATATTGTAGGGGAAGCGTAGAAAGCTAGCTCTTATTAACAAAAAAGAATCCTCATCATGGAATGAGTGTAGCTTTTCAAATATCATGCATGCCTCTATACATTCACGTCAATGGTTCAAGTCCCCTTACGCAATCTAATTTTTTCAATAAAAAATGGATATTTTTTATTTTACTAAAAGGCACATACACAAAAAAAAAAAATGCCCTATAATGGAATGGGCAAGATTTGATACCAAAACCTCTAAAAGAAAATCATATGCTTTAGGTATTGTATGATATATATACCTTTCTTTTTTTAACATACCAAGTTACAAGCAGTAAATTTGGTTATTCAAAAACTGAAATTTAAAAGTTTTTGGTTTTTGAAAAATAAAAAATTTAAAAAATTCAATTTTTCAAAAGTCGAAAATAGGTAGTTTTGTCTTTTTTTTTATAAAAAAATGTTATGAAGTTAAAAAACAAATATTTGGGTAATAACAAAAAGTTTAAGATATTTTCATAATAACATGAAATATAACGAACAGTCACGTAATTTTTCCTTTATATATTTTTGGAATCTAAATATAATTAGATAAATGATCCTATAGGACCTCTCCCACTTATGTGTGGAGGACCTAATAGGTTACCATTAAATTTGATATGGATTTTTATGTGTGTAGGACTTAATAGATCATTATTAAATTTGATATGGATTTTTGTGTGTGTAGGACCTAATAGATTACCATTAAATTTGATACAAATTTATTAAAAAATCAAGTCACACAGCTAGTGATAAATTTTCTAGAGATACATATGAACTTTGATGATCATGATGTTTTTGATATCCTACCCACATGAGTGGGGAGGGTCCTCTAGGATAATTGCTCGTATCATTTATTCAATTTTATATCCGAAAATCGATCCCAGCGAAGCAAATGCCATCGACACACAAGTGCTATTTCCAAAGCTGTAGTACCGGACAGGATTAAACGGACGGCTGATAAAATTCCCACAACAGATAGCGGCCGTCAGATCTCGTCTGACAGCGTACGTGCCAAAGACCTTTTAGGACTCGAATGTAGTTCCTGCTGTTATGAGCCACACGTGTTGAGTGCGGAGGATTTAGCACCGTCCAATAGAGTGGAAGCTAGAGAGACAAAAACGATCTTCTTTTCAAAAACCCAAAGCCCAAATTTCACTTTCTCAACCAAGCCATCGATCCAACAAATTAGGACCCAAAAAACACACATATAAACCTACCAGGAATAAAACACAGTGTTTGATTCTCTCTCTGTGCTAAAGCAGAAAGAGGGGTTTCGTTCTTCAACATTTGCGGTTGAGGGAACCAGAATATATTGACAGGTTTTCCTCTTCTTTCTTATTTTTTGTTGTTGTATGGTTTTTGCTTTTATTTCTCGTTTGGAGTGTTTATTGGCTTTTTTGAGTATTTTGATTCGAGTTATTATTCTTATTTTTATGGCTGCATTGTGGATCCTGTACTTGTTATATCTATCCCATCCTTTGGAGATTTTCTTTTCTTTTACTTTCAATTCATTTTGAATGCAGCCTTTGGTTTTTCATGGAGCAAGACCAAGGGGCTTGAAACCTTTATTTATCCTGTTTATAATATATTATGACTCTCTTTTACTTAAATGTTTGAGTTGAGTGGCTTTCTTGTTGCAATTTGAGGGCAACTTTTGGGGGTTTCTATAACTTTGAAATTTCATTGTTGTAGTATTGGTTTTGCAGAACTTTATTTTTATTTATATACTTTAGACTAGCTTACCATGATTAGTGTTTGACGAAGACATTCGTACTTCTTGTTGAACTTCTTATTAAGGGGAGCCATTTCTGACTTAATGATAAAAACAAGGAGCAACTGGAAAAAAATGAACGATATCATGGGTTTGTTGTGTTTTTAGGAGGAGGCACTCAGTGAGTATCATGGGTGTCAAAATCGCTTTTCGACATAATGGAAACAATGGAGATGATGTTCAACCCTCACAAACTGACCAGGGTGTTCCTTGTGTTGCGGCTTCATCAAACAAGGTTTTGCAGAAATCCCAAACTTCTCGGCGCATTAAAGGGGAGAAGAGTGTTCTTGATGATATAATGGGAGATCCAGATGACTTTGGAGATCTTGATGTTGGGTCAGACGGTGATGGCGGTCGTTGGGAGGATACATGTAAAATGCGGTATGTGCGATTTTGTTGCATTAGACATCTCAGGTATTCATATCATAAGGGTTGTCTTGGACTTATTTGAATGCGCATGGTGATTGCTGCTTTTATGGAGGAGGCTTGCTACTTACAAAGTAAATAAAGGAACGACATTGGCTTAGTTGTTTAAAATTACTTAGTTGTTATTAATTTATCATGTTTTCTGATGTTAGTGATCACCATATCTTTTGATAAGTTGTAGGAATCACTATGATGCTTGCATGTTTTTATTGAAGTTGGCATCTCTGTATATTCAACATGAGATGCTTGTAAATCATGTATACTTGTTCTTTTTATTTATTTTGTTATAAATCTCGAGTTAATCGTTTTTAGGCCTTCTTCTAAAAAAGAACAATTTATTGGACAAAAGAAAACCAAAAACTTCAACGCAAGTCCTCTTATGTTTGCAATAAGTTTCACAAAATCATACCGAAGATTTCGTGCCATCTACTACATATATTTTTTATCACCTTGCAGCTATGTACTAATAATTTGTAACTTCCAACCATGGTAGGTATTTGTTACCAATGGAAGGTTAATTAAAATATCTTGCACAATTTCATCTAGGCTTGAGCACTCCCCAAGGATGAGCATTCTTTTGTCAGCCTCTAACCACACTTATGGGTATTTACAAGTTTAGAAGTTGCACCTGTAGAAATACAAACTTGAAGCAGCAGTACTTTGGCTTCATGCAATTTTTTTTTTTTTTTTGTTTTATTTGAGGGCTGTCTTCATGTAACTTGAGTTTGGAACTCTCTATGGATTGTTGAGATATTTTATCACATTGGGATTCATGTTTATAATTGTGCTTTTACGCGTCTTGAGAATTGCATTCCTACGAGGAACTCCAATGGAAATTAAGTTTGAAGGTTTGGATTGTGGAATAAATAATGCATTCGACATAGGTTGCTGCATGCGATGCAATTCCTGTATCACCCTCAGCCACAATCTGTCAAAACCTCCAACCTTGAACCTGTTCTGCGATTGATCCAATTTTCCATGTCCAATCCAATGATGCCAAATGCTTTCGAGTTACCGTGCCCCATTCAATGATGCGGACATCTTCTTCCTTACTTCGGCTTAGGTTGTTGAAGTCTTGTTATCTTTCTGTCCAGTCTCTGTACGGTTACGGGGAAGCATTTGATATTAGGATACTCTCTTCAGCTAGAATCTGCTTGCCAACTTTCTTTATGCCCAAAAAGCTATAGTTGTTATATATTCAACACCCTTTGTAATTTTTTTTTTTAAAACAAGGAATCTATCTTCACAAGTTAATTCATAGAAAATCTAAACCTCTTGGAGGATCTGATTTTTACTTATTTTATAAACCTAAAACTCCTTCCACCCTTGATCTCATATGTAGATCATTTTGAAAAAAGCATTGAAAGGTTTGCTACTCTGCAATTGTTTATCACTCATTCTTTTGGATTGCACACATTTCTAATCTATGCAAAGAAATGTGATTTCTTTCCACCGATAGGGGGTTTGTGTTCTAATTGTTCTTTTCATTATTTTTTCTTCTAGTTCATCATAATCATCATCAGAGTCTTATCCCAATATGATGAGCCCTATCCCAACTATTTGGGATCGGCTACATGAATCCTATTCTGCCATTCAGCTCTATCAAGGGCCATACCTGAAGCACAACTATAAGTCCTCGTATCTTTTCTCACTACTTTCATCTATGTCCTTTTACGCCTTCCCCTTGCCCTTTTAGAGCCTTCTACCTAAACCAAATTACACCTCCTAATTGGTGCTGTATTGGGTCTGCGCTGCATATGCCTAGCCTACTTAAGTCTACTTTCCCACGTCTTGTCGCCTATTAGAGTCATCCCTAAGTTCCCTCAAATATGTTCATTATGAATTCTATCATTTCCTGTCTTGCCACCCATCTATCTCAACATTCTCATCTCTGCCACACTCATCCATTGGGCAATGTAAAAAAAATCGGCTGCTCAGCTCCAACCGCCCGGCGCCCGCCCTAGGCCCTTTTGTCGATCCGAAAATAGGCCATGCACAAAAGTGATTTTTAGTAATTTCTCCATTGAAAAGGGGGGAAATAGGTTATGGGGGGATTTTGGGCCCCCCAAAACCCTAGTGAGAGATATTTTCCTCCTAAAAACACCTTTTTTTACCTTAATCTGAAGTTTTCGATTTCTTGTGAAATCAAAAGGCATTCAACATGGTTCCTTTTGGAGGCCAAAAAGGTTGAAAAGAGAGGTTTTGGCATCTCAAAGTAAGTGATTGAAGCCCACTTTGATTGGGTGTTGAAAGGTTAGTAAATTTAAATGTTTATGTTTAGGTTTCATATTTTTGAGTATTGTATTATATTATATTTTTAGGTAATTTTCTTGTGTTTATATTTGAATTTGGGATTTTCTTGGTAATTTTCAAGTAGTTTAAGAAGTTACTTGCCATATTAGATGAGGTTTAGTATGGAAGAAGTTCATTCAACGAAGCTTTTGTATAGGATTTGAAATTAATCTGTTGTTTTATCTTGGCCGATTGGGGTTTGTTTCAAGTAGTAGGCCTGTAACTGCTTACATATTGGAGTGCGTTTTTCTTCATAACTAGCAACATGAACTTGGTTGGCACTCCATATTTGTAGTTGAACCTAGTTTCCTCAATGATTCTTTGGATATTATGGGGATGCGTACCTTTTCTTTCAATTTTTGGATAGGATGCTAATTGATTAGTTGTATTGATGGATTAATGCCAAGAATATATTTACCTATCTGTTTATATATTGACACGTCTTGTTTTCTCACACGTTTGATCCTTGCTCTTCATGGAGCAGCTATGAAGAGGAGAGAATCTTGGAGGGAAAGCTTCCCCTGGTGGACATGGACTCTAAGGTAAGTAGTCTTACATTTTTATGGTCATTTATGGACTGCAATCAGTGAGTTGTTGTTGCTTATATTTTTACACTTATATGCGCTTTTAATGGTGTCCAATCCAAATTGTGTGAGTATTCTTCCTTTTATCTTTTTTTTTTGTTTTGTTATGTTTTGTTTTTTTGTTTTTTTGTGACGCTTCTCATTTGTGCAGAAGCTGTGATATATGTACCTTGTATATTCTAGGATAGAAATTGTCTTGAGTTTACGCTACATTGCAGAATTTGCCCTGCTAGGAACATCCACTAATAAATTGCTTTTTATGAGAACTGTGCAATATTGACTGTACTTCTTCCACTGAGTTCCATTCATCTTTTAATATTTTCATCTTTCTAATTTTAAGTTTGATATTGAAGCATGCTAAACCCCTAATACTGGAGGTATGGAGGGTTTCGAGTTGTATGGTCGCTTTGTTCTATGAGATTTCCTTCTTTGGCTTCCAGGGTAATATTGACCACAGTTCCTTTTTATATGTTATATGCTGTAAATATTTCTATCAAGAATTTAGCCACATGTTGAGCTCTTGATTAGTGTTGTTGATGGAGGATAAAGAACAATGAAAGTGAAACACGATAATCCTACTAATGGATCGGAAAACAACAAGGGGCTTACAAGTCAAGGTCCATAGCCACCTCTAATTCGGGGCCTCTAGTGCAAAGCTTACTGTTGGGGGAATACTTTTGGATGCTCCATCTCAGGACAAAACATATAAAATCAAGGGGTGAGATTGATCTTAGTATCTAGATCGAGCGGTTTTCAAGAGCATACATGCTTAATGAACAGAGGGACTCAATGAGAGGTGAAATGGACATGATATCAAGATATATCTGCAAGATATGCCTCAAATACCATGTTAGAGGTATGATGGTGTCAGGACTGGCCATTGAAGATCTTTATGCACCTTAAAGCCCTGACAATAGGTCACCATATGCCTTAATGGCCGGACCAACTCTGGGATTGTCAAAAGCATCTCAATATGAGACCAAACTATGGGTTGAAACTCCTGTATCCATAATACGCCTCTACACATTATATCGAGGAAGTTTGAATATAAATTGACAAATTTTGAGAGATTCTGTTTGTTAAAAGGGCTTTAACGGCCAGACTCTTGCAAACCTTGTCAAATCATATTGAAATTAGGTGAAAGTTTGCAGGTACCAATGTATGGCCATTATATGCCTCCAGTCCAACATCATTAAGTTTGGACACCATTTGACATGATATCTTGATCCATAGTCGGTAAAGATGTATTTAACTGACGGACCACCCTTAGTGTCTGGGAAATGAGTTGAAACCATTGGGACGTAAGGTTCGATAACCTAAAGAAGGAGGTTTAGTAACTATATCACTCCCTCCTGTAGTAAGGCCCTATATGCATTGATTATTAAGACATCATGCACTGGCCAGGATGACCTCTGGTTACTAAAATCGAGCTTTCTCCCAATCTAGGAGGAGTTTTAATCAAAGTCAAGAGGAATCCTGAGGTAGAGCCCTATCAATCTTGTGGAGGCCCCATTTTAAGAATCCTTAATGTGAAAGCGGCTAAAGCTGCACAAGGGACCATTTATTGCGTCTGATTGTAACCGACAGACCCCCATATCTCCTAAAGTATTTGGGGTTTTGCCAACAATTTTGGTGGAGATATTCTCCATGATGAACTCTTCAAGACTACAACATACTAAAATTTCATGGCCAATTTTTTCTTGAAGAGAAAGATATTGGGTCCGCAATAATCTAATCTGCTTCTCTGATCAGCAACAAAATAGCCTCGACTTCGAGAAGGCGTATCTGCCTGAATATTGGTCCATATGTGGTGAGACTTGGTTCATTTCATCTGTCTTGCTCCTCTTTGAGCACAACAAAGTTCACAATCAAAGGACTTCTCATCTGAAAGCAGTGTGAGATAGATTAAGACATGTCTAAACAGAACTTGAATGTTTAATTGACGGAGCCATAAGATAACCGAATTCCTTAATTTTCTCATGATTGGATCTGCTCAGAGCTTATTGGTTTTAATTTTGAATTCAAAGGGAGATTCAAATATGATCAATGGTCATCCATTTGACTACCTTAAGGGAGATTTAAAATTTGAAAATGATTGGTCTTTATCTTTTGCAGCCAAAATAAGAGAGAGGAAGTTGTAGCTTGCGATTTTGGATAAGCACGAATGACTTTCAAGTCTATGTTCCTGGGACCACTTACTCACTCTTTATAAAACACTCTCTCTGACGCACTAAGAGGGGATTTGAGACTAAGGATTTGGATATACACTCTCTAAAAGCCCATACGCCAGAGAGAGAGAGAGTGACTTCTCATACTTCTTACATGCTTTCCAAAGAGAGAGTGATTGAATAGTGCTTTCTTCACAGCAATGTGGGAATACCAGAGAGATAAACACTGAAAACCAAAATCACTTGAAGAATGGCAGGCTTTTGAAGGAGAAAAGGACTGAAACCAGTATCCCTTATACATGTATATGGGCATGATGCACCCATGGTGCTGTTATGATTTTCCCCTTTTCTTCGTTGTATATTTTTCTTCCTTGAGTCTATAAATGTTCAAGACCCGAATCAAAGGTTTATGTGTTTGAATATTGACTCGGGGTAAATTGTAATAGGGATTGAAATTTCCTGAAGTTTCTCAAGAGCCCAATTTATTCTAAAAATATTTATTTTCTAATACATGAAAGTAGGGACGACTTTGTTCCCTTGATGCGTGTCTCTGGTTATCTTCCTTTATCTAGAGTCATAATCATAAAATCTACGCTACACATTTTGGGGAAACAGTTAAATTTCAACTATAGATAAAAAGAATGAAAAAGCAGAAAAGACACTACAGTCCCAAACTGCACAAATAATGAAAATACCCCTTGTGACATGTTTTGCTCTTTGATGGCCATTTTCACTCCTCTAGAGGACTTGTTTTTGACAAAATCAAGCTTGGCAACTGGCTCATTCGTTGTATGCCTCTAAAAGAGTTTTTCGTAGAGTACCCATATGCCTAATTTTGAGCTACGTGCGCAAAATTAGGAGATTTTTTAATTGAGTTTCATGCTTGCATTTTGCAACGAATCTACTTGGTCTGGTGATTTCTTTTCAGCCATGGAATGTTGGATTTTGATACATGAAATCCCCCCTCCAGAAAACAGAAAAGAAAAATTGGAGATGTAACGAGAAGATGCAGTTGTGGGTTGGTTTCCTATATAAAGGAAGCTAAATTATCTCAGGCTGACTGCCCGTGGAGAGGAGAGATGGGATTGTCACCTTCTTAGTTGTAGAAAGCAAAAGTCTACTTTCTCTAATCTGATTGCCTATTGGTGCCACTCCAAAATTCTCCCGAATGTATTCATTTTGAATTCTATCCCTTCTTGTCTTGCGACTCATACATCTCAACATCCTCATCTTTGCCACACTCATTCTATAGGTATGTTGTTTCTTTACCGCCTAACATTTCTCCCTATAAAGCAAAGCTGGTCTCACAACTGTCTTATAGAACTTGTCCTTCAGCTTCATTGGTATGCGGCGATCAAATGAAACTCCGATTGTACATCTCCACTTTGCGTACCCAGTTCTAATTCTATGTGCGACATCTTTCACAATCTCGCCATTTTTCAGGATTATTGACTCAAGATATCAGAAGTGCACTCTTTTTGGTATTTCTTGGCTGTCAATCTTATCTACTTCATCGTCTCTACTCCTGTTATTACTAAACATGCATTCCATATACTATGTCTTAGTCAAACTAATTTTAAAACTTTTAGATTCTAGAGCATTATGTCGTCCGCAAGTAACATGCATCATGGTATCTCATCTTGTATGTGCCTAGTTAAGTCATCCATAACAGAGGCATGGGCTCAATGCTGACCTCTGATATAGACCTATTGTCACTGAAAACTCACTCATCTCTCCATTGGTTATTTGTACACTAGTTAACGCTCCCTCTTACATATCTCTCTCCAAGTCGATGTATTGTTTGGAGACTCCTTTCTTTTCCAACACCCACAAAATCATATCTTGAGGTACACTATCATAAGCTTTTTATAGATCAATAAATACCATGTGGAGGTCTTTACCCTTTGCCCTAAACTTCTCAATCAGTTGCCTAAGTAGGAAAATAGCTTTAGTTCTTGACCTCCCTAGTATAAAACCAAATTGGTTTTCTAATACACTCGTTTCATGCCTTAATTGTTGCTAAATGACTTTCTCCCACAGCTTCATAATGTGACTCATAAGTTTGTTCCCTCTATAGTTCGTACAATTCTGTACGTCTCTTTTGTTCTTATAAATCGGTATCACAATACGTTTCCTCCATTCGCCATGAAGTTTTTTTGTTTTCAACACCGTGTTGAACAACGTGGTCAGCCAGTCAATGCTAGTCTACCCCATGCACTTTCAAATCTCTATCAGAATACCATCTGATCCTAAGGCCTTTCCACTTTTCATCCCCTGCAAAGCTTCTTTTGCTTCCGATATTCTAATCCTACGAATGTATCTATGACTTATTTGTGCCAACGGTTCCTTCTGCTGCTATGTTCCCATTGTGTTCGTCATTAAATTATTTTTGAAAATAAACTCTCCATATTTCATTGACCTCTTCATCCTTCACCAAGACCCTTTGATCTTCACTCTTAATGCATTAAATATGGTTGAGATCCTTACATGTTTTCTCTCTCATTTTTGCTAATTTGAAGACATATTTTTTACCTTTTTTGTTCCCAATTTACTGTATAGATTATCATATGCTTTAAGTTTAGCCTTACTATTTGTTTAAAGTTTTTCTTAGTACTGTTATATTATTCTAAGTTTTAATCATTTCTATCGCTTTGCCAAGTTTTAAAACATTATTGTTTTTCGTTAATGCGTTTCTGAACTTCATCACTCTACCACCAAGTTTCCTTAACGAAATTTCTTTTTCCTCATGATTCTCCTAAAACTTATTTTGCCACTTTATTAATGTAGTCA